GATGATAGAAAATAATTTTGATTTTGTGATTTTATCAAAACAAAAATAATTGGATCAAGCAATGGGGTTGAAACGGATTTGATCCAATGAGGCAAATCGATCAAAAATGAAAAATGCAACATTTGAATTAAAATCATGGACGTTTTGGAATCCATTTGAGAATTTGAGATACCTTTTTGACGAATCGAGTTCCATTTGCAACGAACGAAACAAATTTAGAAGATCTTGGTTCTTTTGTTGGAATGAGAAAATCTCCAATTTGAACATTATACCACCCACTATGCGTGATGTACAAATCGTTCTTCGTGTTCTTCAACGATCCAAGAACATCTTCATAAGAACCACCAACACTTTTGGGTTTTGACTTCAAATTCAATACAACATTTGGAGATTGTTGCTTTGGAACCCAAATTTGCTTCACGGATTTCGGATTCACAACAACATTTGACGATTTTTGTGAATAAACCCGCTTGTTCTTCCGTTTAATCTTTTTTTTTTTTTCTTTCTCATCTTTTTGCATCTTGAAGACTTGATTTCATGAACAAAACCACTTCCCACAACTTCAACTTTATGAGTTTGAATCAAATCTTTTGGAGTTTGATACTTGTGAATTTCTTGGATCGCCGACTTCCGATAAGGAATCATTCCTTCAAACGAATCACAAGAACACAAAATATCATCGGTTTGAACTCCAATCGAGCAAAAAACTTTTGCATCTTCATAAGAATCAACTTGAATCTTCTTGTCATGAACTTCAATAACATCAAGAACATCACATTGAACTCCATAGTCTTGAACTTCAACAAACTTAAGAGCACGAAGATCATTTGGATTTTCAATTAGAGAAATGTATTTCTTATTAAACAAATCTCTTTCTTCTCCTTCCTTGTGATTTCTACTACGGACTAATATGGACAAGGCAATTTTATTCAACCATACAATCTTACAAAGTGGTTGAAAAATCAAGCTTCCATTATTATCCTTCAAATCTCCATAAGAAACCATATTACCCCATGAAATCAATTTGTTTAACACCAACCCATAAAATTGATCTTCATTGACTTTGTATTTGATATCTTCAACGATCACAATCCAAGAATCATATGGCAAATCCACCATGATCATAAGAACTTGAAAATTTCTAGAGAGAGAAAGTGATTTTGAATGAGTTTTCTAGAGAGAGAAAGCAAAAATCACTTGAATTTTAGTGAAGAAAATCGAATTATGAATAAAATCAATGATGAATTCGATTTCTAGAATCCAAACTCTCAATAACACGAAGATCAAAACACAATGAAGAATCACCAAATCAAGAATGTCACCATGGATCAATTCTTGATCAAATCAAGAACACCCGCTATGATACCAATTGTAGTGTTGTTGATTATGATGGCATGTGCGGAATTAGAAAAGATCTAGTGAATCATCATACAAAATCAAGAACACATGAAATAAATAAATATGGATTTAGCTTTCATTAGTATTGATAGAAAGAGTACAAATGGGCCTTGCAATTTCTCTCTCTAAACTAATGCTCTTACAGTGTTCATTACATAAATAAGTGTCACTCACTTCCTATTTATAGGAAAGACAACTCATTACACAATACAAGTGGGTAAAGCACAAATACATCCAAGCGTGACTTTACACCCTAACAGTATCATCAATCATGTAACACATAAAAGCAATTTAGGCATCGTTCCTAAAATAAGCTAGTGCTCGTGTCTATGCATAGCAGACACTCATCACACAATCATCGCTTAGCATTCTAAGTTTAAGTCTAGAAATCCTACAAATTCCTAGTTCTCTTAAACTAATGCTCTGATACCAACTGTGACATCCCCAATTTCACGGCCAGGGAAGACCGATTTGTTTATACTTTATTTAAAAATCAAAGTATCATTTGAAGAATAATGTTGCGGAATTTGTTCTAAAAAATATGATAAAGATTTTATCAAAGAATTTCCGAAGAAATGTATTTTAATTATATTAAAAATATTGGGATGTCATCGGCAATACAATACATAAGCATAAACATAAATAGTACAGACCTTACAAACATATATTATTCTAATGGCCTATAATCAATAGATCTCTCATATGATCATCACACCTGTGCTCTTTTGCCACTACATGTAATACAAGAAACTGAGTGGGTCAGGCTTGGGAGTCTGGTGAACACATAAGGTTTTCAACCTACAATAATTAAGTTCTTTAATTTCATCAAATCATTCAACCCGATTACCCGTTCTCATTATCCTCACTTTTTGTCCCTAAAATATCTAATTTAAGGGACCTATCCTAAGGATCATCATCGGGAAGATAATATTGCTTAGGAGATTTCTCAGCAATATATGTCAGTAAGGCAACCATGAGGAGGATGAAGTGTACTGGGTGAACACATCGTTCATAAACACCTAGAGGTTGCGATCCTGCTAGCGTTTCACTAGACTGTCTAGAATAGTCCATGGATTACACAAAGAGGTATAGACATTAACCTTGTGTCTCTATGGATTGATCATGTTTGCGTTGTACTACTTTTCAGTACATTAAACATTGTATTTGGAGTCTAAGAAACTCAACATTACGTAACTGGCAAAGCTGTCTGGGAATAGAAACATTTTCCTTAAAAGAAGAATCCTTAAATAAGATAGATCACCAAAAAATTTATGAATCCCACCCGACAAGTTCATAATCAAAACCTTTGTTAAATTACAAGTTGTTACCTATGTCCATGAAGTTGCTCCACAAGGAAACCGGCCTTCAAAACTGTTATTTCTCACAAATTCAGACAACCAACTCAACCAACTGATGTTGCTTATCCAACCAGGGAGGGATGACGAAACCTATAAAGAAGTTATTGCTAATATCAAGAAGGCTTAAATATTCAAGCTTTTCCTCACTACTCTTAATTCGAATTTTCCCTGTGAAATGGTTGTTGTCTGACTAAACTCCTTTCAGTTTGCCCCAACTAAAATCTTCTTTGAGAACTTCACTCACATCTCAACAAAGCAACCATTACATACTACGATAATGTTAGTGCAGTTTAATTATCGAATCGTACAACACCAACACATGAACCATATAGAGACTGACATTCATTTTGTACGAGATTAGTGTATGTATTTTATATAGCCCATTACTTTGTATAGTCTAGTTAGTCGATGTAACCCTTGTAGCCCAATATGTATTGTAATTTGTATATATTGTAATGTGAATGCAATGTCACATTTTCCTGGGAAAATAACACTTTCAATACTCATTAGGGTCTTCTTGTGCATCATTATACATATATCAAAGCAGAAAAATATAAATAGATATGAAAAGCATGCTCGTGTTTATTTCATCACATCTTCTTCAATGGGACTTAGTTATGGAAGATCATACAAGGCTTCCTTACCGAATCATAAAGGAAGTAATAGCATATATACATACATCCTCCAACCATGTCTAGCCACCTTCTGCGCCAGTAAGGATTGATGTAAAGAAGCCCGACAAATCCCAACAAGAACACAACACATGTTGAACTAGAACTTCCATAGAAACACACCATATCAATATCATACCATTTCTCAGAGCTCTCTTCTTTAAGAGATGGATCGGTTACCTGTGGCTCTATCGTGCATTTATTCTCCAGCGGTGGTCCGCAAAGAAGTGGATTGCCTTCATAGCTAGCCTTTGTAAAGGTCCCAAACTGTGCTTTCATTTCTGGGAGTCTACCCGATAGATTGTTGTGAGAAACATTAAGAACTTCTAGAAAAGTCAGCTGAATCAGTTCTGATGGAATTATGCTGGTCAATCCATTTGAAGAAAGGTCCAAGCTCTCAATATTCGCAAGATTTGAGAAGTTCACTGGGATTGGTCCAGTCAGCTGATTGTGAGACAGGTTCAAAGCCCGAATCTGGCTCAGCAACCCTAGTTCTCCTGGAATCTCACCTGTGAGTTTGTTACAAGATAGATCCAATCCTGTCATGTAATCAAGGATGTCACCCTTGTAGTGGAGAAAGAGCGTTTTTGTTGTGAACTCAACTTCGTCTTGTGTTTCCACTGTTTCACTAGTGGGGATCGACGGACGAAACCCAAAATTAGTACTCTCATAATGGTAAGAGGATTCAATGGAAAATCCAAATCCCCATCCGCCTCTTTTTATGAAAGCAAGGTCATGCCCCCCGGTAATGTTTTGAAGGCAGCTAGGTATTGAACCAGAAAGATGGTTATTCGATAGATCTAACAAACTCACATCACGTAATTTGCACAACTGCTTTGGAATAGAACCACTAAAGTTATTTTTTCTCAAAAGAAGAATCCTTAAAGTGGATAGTTTGCCAAGAAATTTAGGAATCCTGCCTGACAAATCATTGTTGCTGATGTCTAAAGTCAAAATAATAGTCAAACTACGAAAGAAATTAGGTACCGATCCAGTAAATCTGTTGGAACCCAAATGAAGATGCTGCATATTTGAAATTTGAAAATTTAATAAGCAGGATGGGATGGGCCCAGAGAAATAATTTTGTGAGATATCAAGAACAGAGAATTGTGCTATTCCACAAGGAAACCTGCCTTTGAAACTATTATTTCTCACCACAAGTTCAGTCAATCCCCTGATGTTGGTTATCCAATCAGGGATCACACCTGTAAAAAGGTTATTGCTAATATCCATAGAAATCAGAGTTTCCAGATTTCCCTGGCTAACAGTTCCAATTTTCCCTGTGAAATGGTTGCTGTCTAGGTAAAGCCCTCGGAGGTAATTACCCCAGCTTAAATTTCCTGAAAGTACCTGGCCGTGCAAGTTGTTCTCTGATAGTTTTAATACCTGCAATCCAGATATATTTGTGAGCATTCCCTTTGGTACTTCTCCTGATAACTTATTGCCAGATAAATCCAGCATCGATAGTTTACTCAGTTCACTAATTGAGGATGGGATAGCACCGGTTAAACCATTCATGGACAAATTCAAATGAATTATGTTAGGAAAGAACTTTGGTATATGCTCGGAAAGATTACCTATTATGTGATTTCCAGATATTAGCATTTCTATACAGCGGCATACTGCCAAAGGAGTTGTTCCTTAGGTTAAGAACATCCAGATTCGTATTATTTTTAAAAAACCAACTTGGAAAGTGTCCCTCCAAGGAATTGTGAGGCAAGTGTAGTTCCCGTAACTTGTGCTGGTGAAGTAGAAACCCAGGTACAACTTGTCCTTTAGGCATGTTCATATTGCAATTAGATAGCTCAAGAATTTGCAACTGGAACATTGGGATCCAATCTGTAGGCTCTTCTGTTTCGACCACAAATTCCTCACTGTCGCTTGAAAACAGAATTACCTCAAGCTTTGAATGGTTGGAGAAGGAGCTGAACGAGAACACACCTTCAAAATTGTTATGACTGATATCAATGTACTCGAGAGATGTGAGATTAGCAATGAGCGATGCCACAAATATCCCTTAAGAGATGACAGATTGTTCAAACATTGAGGCAGAGTTCCATGAAGCCTGTTGTGACTAAGATCCAGTTCATGGAGGTTCTTCAACTCACTGAAACCTGGAAAAAGCGAAAGAATGTGCTCACCCTACAGGAAATATAAAGACTTGCACTGCTTATGGTCATACTATAAGAACATTGCATTTGTACATTTGTTCTAACACTACAAAATTTAAGGGCAATAGTGATAATCCAGACACTTAATTTTGCATGCTTTACCATGATCCGGTAATGAGCCATGATAATTGTTGGCGAGTGAGAGAGCTCTTAGGGAAGATAATGCATGTATTGCTGATGGAATGCTCCCAACAAAATTGTTGCCATTCAAATCTAAGACCTCCAGATGGCGGAAAGATGCAAAAGCTGGATGACAGCAAAGAGGGTTACATATGTAGGCTACTAAACAAAAACACAGAAGAATTTGTTGCAAGTCATATATTATTGATGGTAGAAACTCAATAAGTTCAACCAATTATAACTAATTCGTAAATTAAGGGAAGGAAGAAAAACACTACCCTCTATTGGTAGTGTTCCACTGAAATCATTATCTCTCAAGAGGAGGACTTCCAAATCAGGCAAATCATGAAATTCTGAATTAAAAAAAAAAAGAGACATGTCAGACAATTAACAAAAAGAAAAATGGAAAATTATAAATGAAAATGAAGGTGAAAATTAGTATCTTGAGATAGACATGCCTTGGAAAGGAAAAGAACTTCCCAATGAAGTTGAATATGAAAGATCAAGAATCTTGAGAGATGGAAGGGTACTTAGGCATGATATGATGCTCTTGTTGAAATTGTGATAGGAAAGATTTATATTCTCCAACCTTTTCAATCTCGATAAGCTCTTACAAGCTGTAAAAAGAAAGGGAATTAATAGAGAAATCGTGGTCTTGTAAGTTTGTTACAATGGAGGAATTTATGATTCATTAGCTTTCAAGAACATTATCACTATTCACAAGTTACCATGGCTATGAGAAGTTAAATCTTCGTTTACCTTGGTTATTTGGTGTGTCACTAATCTACTGGATAAAAAGTAAATCAGGCTCCTCCAGGTTAGTCACAGAAAAGAAAAACATATATATCATGTATTATGCATGCTCATTAGTCTTTATCTATCATTATAACGAGGTGGCCTCAATTTTCCCTGTTGCAACTCATTGTTAATTAAGTTAATTGCAAATGAAACACTTATAATCCTCAATGAGTGAAGTCCGCACATAGACATGACAGTATCCCACAAACACTATCTAAAATATACATATAAGTCCTCATGAATCACATTAAACCAAAAACAAGATAATATTGATTATATATGTTGTATGTAGGGGTGAGCATCAGGACTGGATTACAGCCTTTATAGGTAATTTTTTAATACAGGTAATAACAAGTTGACATCTACGCTTGTGTTAAATTGTATCCAAGTTGAACGCCCCAACTGATCTTGGGGAAAATTTAACATAAATACTTTGTGTTGAATCACTTTTGTAGTTCAGCTATGAACTCTCTCATGGGAAGAAACAGGTAAGAAGAGTATTTATAGGTGATTTAGTTCTTTTTCTAATTTAACGTGTTTGATTTTTTTGGTGTTTTTTCTTAATTTAATTTGGATGTAATTATATTTATATTAGTAATATATAGACACAGTTCTTCAATTTTTGTTGTCTGTAGTTTTATATTGTTGAGTACGGGTGGGTGTGGATGATTGTGGGTGGGTATATGTGGGGTTGGGTGGGTGTGTCATGTGTGTGTGCCTGTATGTGTGTTGGGGTGGGGGGTTGGGTGTAGATGGGTATGAGGTGTGGGTAGGTGTAGGTGGGGATGGGTTGGGTGGGTGTGGTTATATTTGAAAAAACTTTTGGAAATGGAAGGGTGTGGAAGACAATAATTGAGTTCTTCAAGTTAACAGTTAACTTGTAATTTTTTAAAACAAAAAATTATATTTTCTTGGAAAAAATTTCATCCCAAATGCATTAAATTTTCACTTTTCTTAGAAAAATATCGGGAAAACTAAAGAAAATATCCAAAACCGAACACACCCCCAAGTTTTTTGGAAAACTAAAGAAAAATTTCATCCTAAATTTCACCTATTGTGTCTCATTGTTAACTAGCTGATGCAATTGCAAACACTTGTACTCCTCAATGAGTGAAGCTGACATGACAGCATCCACAAACACTCTATAAATATAGGTTCTCATGCATCACACTAAATTGGAAACAAGATAAAATTAATTAAGTTCATATGATCTAAAAATGATACTCCAACAACTTTAGGAAGAACTATATATAGTCAAGTCATAGCACGTACCTTGAGCTGGAAATGGTCCTGACATTGGATTGTTGCTAAGATCCAAGTTTGTAAGTGATGAAAGGATACTTAGAGATGTTATGACGCTTTCATCAAATCTGTTGTGCCCAAGATTTAAAATTTTTAACTTCGTCAATATGGAACCCGTCTCAAAACCTACATTTAGGAATTTAAGCAGTCAGATTTATACGCTCTAGTTTGATAGAATGACAAAGCTGTTTAGGAGAACATATACAAGTGTGTGTGTGTGTGTGCGTGTGTGTGTGTGTATATATATATATATATATATATATATATATATATATATATATATATATATACATATATCCATGTTTTTAATATTGTTGTGCCTCCCTTAAAAGTTAAAATAATTACTATTATATCTAACCAAGTGACTTGATTGTAATGTATCACTGTATTGCAATTTTTCTTTGTCCAAAGAAAAGAAAAGGTAATACTTTAAATTTCAACACATGAAAGAGTCATTCTTCTATATATGGTATTGTAAAGTTGCAAAAGGGGGATTTGTGTATGAATCCAAGGTGACTATATTGGCATGATGATTTTGATGATGTTATTCATTACCTTGAATCTCAAAGGTACCATTAAAGTAACAGTAGCTTAGATCCAACACCTCCAAGTTCTTTAAAGCTGCAAATTCTGCAATTCATGTAAAAGCTGGGTGTAAGTATCTTCCAAACAGGCATTTGTGCAAGATAACTTAAAAGAAGACATGAAAAGACGAAAACGTGCCACTGATAGGGAAGTTTCCATTCAAGCTAGTGTCGCTAAGATCCAAGATTTTGAGTGAAGTGAGTGTCTTCAATGATGGAATGATGTCGTTATCGATATCGTGATTCCCACTAAGGTCTAGTACCTTCAACTTCTTCAAACTTGACAACCTTTCAAGTCCTGCAAAACATAGAATTCTTTAACACAAGCAACCTAGCCTTTTGATATTGAAAGGACAACTTTTTGAGCAACATTGGTAAATACTAAAAAGTTGTAGCATGAATTGCAGGATCTGAAGTACCATGAAATCTTGTGTTTAGTCTTTTATATATAGAAATATATTATCCAACTATTAAGTTACCTAATTACAAGCCTCTTTGAGTGCATAAATTAGTTGGATGTTGTGTTTATTAACTCAAATAGAGTCAACTTACTCAAATGTTTGCTCAAAAAATATGAATTTGGAACCATGTGAAAGAAATACTGAAGCAATTAATCATGTTGTACCTATCTTCATAGTCACTTTATCAAGAAAATCATGTGACAAATTGAGACTTGTCAACTCTTTAAAATGAAGAAAAAGGAGACATTCAATGGCCACGACTTGTTCCCGAACTCCATATTATCGTCTATCACCCATCTTAAATTGTAAAATGAAAGCTCTGTTACATGCCCGGTGGTTGTGTTGCATTTGACCCTCTCCCAATCACAACAGTTACCACCATCATACCCCGAGGTTCTACTACCATAATCAACCCAGGTAGGGAGAAAATGGTCAACATTGGAATCATACGACTTCATATGGGAGGCTTTGATTTGGAGTAGTGCCTTTCTCTCCTCTTCTATACAAGCACCTTGTGTTTGCCCGACCATAAGAATATGTATCATCATCAACATCAACAACCAACGTAACCTTGACTTATGCTTATTCAAACCCGAAAACTCCATTTTAGTAGCTAATGGTGGTTTTGTAGAGACAATCACAATATTAAACTTCCAGATAGATCTTTGGCTTGGTTAGCTAGCTTTGCTTGGAAAACATTTGATAAGTGATGAAATGAATATCAATTGCATAATTTTCCGCGTCCTCAAGTTAATTGGTCAATTACCACACATAAGTCATCAAGTCAATGGTAAAAATTCAACACAAAACGCTATTCCATCTACTCCATTGTCGCCCACTCCTTCAACTTGACCCTTTTGGAGTATGATACACTCCCAAACATTCGTGACACGACATTTGATGACTTTTCAACAAACTTAAGTCCCCATTCACATAGAATATAATTGGTCTTTTTTTTTTTTTTTGCAACTACTTACAAAAACAAAACACCTCAATTTCTGGTAAACAGAAAAGTGAGAGCATTTGCTAGAGATCACAGTAGCCGACATTGAAACGGGCTTCAGTGAATTTGAAATTTCAATAACCCTAACCTGATAAGTAGGCCCTTCCCCCACTTTAACCTTTCACCTCCCTTACTCTTCGTCTTCCCTAACGAAATAATCATTTTCACCACTACTCACCGACGACGGCGATGGTACAGGTCCCGGCCCTTGATTTAGAGGGGTGTGTGGCAGGGGAGGTCTGGAGGATAAACGGAGGGGTTTAACGGGAAAGGGAAATGGGAATGGGGAAGCCGGTTTTGGTGGGGTCAAGGGTGCGGTAAAAAAACAAGTGTTACCATTATTTGTGAAACTTAAAGTATAACTTACCAACGAAATCTCACAATACTAATAAAAGAGTTGCTAATAAAAGAGTAGTCTTTTATCATATATATATATATATATATAATATATATATATATATATATATATATATTATATATATATATATATATATATATATATATATATATATTAAGTTTATGAAAGATTGTAACAGTATTCGTTCCCTTATTTTGTCAAAATCGGTCCCTCAAGTTAGTTCGTGGGTTATTTTAACGCTACCATGGTTACCGCTTCAGGCGGCCTCTCAGAAATATCTTCCGTCCTTCCAGAACTCTCTCTATTCCTCCGGTATAGTCTACTATCCACAGAAACCCACCGCCTCATACCCCCTCCTTTCTACCGTATTGTCTACGCACAAGAAATCTTGGGCGTTTCCTGCCCTCCACCTGCTCCAAGCTCTCTTCTTCTCCTCAGAATCGTCGGCCTCCACCAGCTCCTACCGTAGATTTGTGTAAACGAAGGTACTGATTCAATCCCACCGCCTCTCTTATCAGATATCTTCTGTTTCCGACTCCACTCCACCGTCTTCCTTTTATCTCCCACCGCTTCTTCATCTCCATCCTTCTACAGGGTTTCTCTTAGCAGATCCTCTATTCGCACACCGATGAGGAGCACGAACGCAACAGATCAGGGAGGTGGGGAGGATGGTTCGATGGTGACAAATCTGTTGAGTAGGGGAGTAGTTGACCCCCGGTGGCCCCTTTGTGGTGTAGTCTTCGTCTGGTGGAGAGAGGGAAAAAGAGAAACACGAATGGAAATAGATAACGGGCTGGATTGGGAAATCTCCACCGGCTCTTAGCTTGATCGGAGAAGAAGGACGAACGCTTCAGCAGGAGCTGTCGTCAACTGTGATGGAAGAAAGGGGCTGCTCCGGTAGCGGATCGCGAAGGGGAGGAGGGAAAAACTGTTGGTCCCGTGGTGGTTCTGTGATGTTCAATCGAAGAAGAAGAAAACAAAATCAGCAACAGTAAGGGTTGGATGGAGGCTCGCCACAACCGGTTAGTTCATCGGTCCTTCTTCTTCTCCACTTCGTGGTGTTAGATGACGCAAAGATGAATAGACGTAGATGGTGAACGTCTTAACGAACCCTAATTCAAGGTAATTTCTTTATCCGTTTTCATTTTTCTTTTCTGAAAATTATGGAATTCGACTTCATTGTTTCCTGTTTCTTTGTCTTTATTATTGGTAAGATTCACTTCCTGTGAAGATTAAATTCTCAGCCACAGATGATTGCAACTATATCTCATTAATGTGAGTATTCAATTAATTCACTTAAGGTAATTGAATTTATATATATTATTATTTTGGGTACGGTTTTTACTTTCTCAGGTTTCTTTTCATAGAAGATCGACAGTTCCTTCGATTTAGGGTTTTATTGAAGTTTAATTATGTTGAACACAATTTCGGGTATGTGTTCTATCCATAACCGATTCTTTGTTTTCATTTGATTTCAATTAAACAATGACATTCATGAAATTCATCTTATGGGTTTTGAAATTCATTTTGATTGATAAATCAACAGGTTAGCACAAACAATCATCAATTTGTTAAAAGTCAAGATTGTTACTCATTTTTCTGTGGATAAAACCAGGTGCAAGGAAGTTGATGAATTCACAGTTATGGCACGACTGTGAGCAAGTAAGCTTCTTTCACGGTATCTTTGTAAAGAAAAAATTATAAGTGATTCTATCCATTAATAGAATTCTTACTTTTTTTACTATTTCATTCAAGCTTGCAGCATGATGTGAACCTGATGAAGTTTTTCATGAAGCTCACAATCCATGTTTCCCATGGTAGGAACTAAAAGCTGGGAACAAGAGAAAAAATCAGGAAAAAAATATGAGAAAAAAATAGATGGTGGGTGAGTAAAAACAGGAAGGCCCTTTTCTGATTGGAATCTGACTTAAAAGCTTTAGAACCCGCGTAAAAACACTAGGCATGTTTACAATATGTTGATTTTGATTTTTTTCTGCTTTTACATATTGAATTGTTAATAACATTTGGCATCATCCTTGCAGGTAAATGTATTTTATTTGGATAGAGTGGTGTGATAAAAGTATCATCATCATATTGAAAGAAATAGCAAGGTACATTCGATTACTTTCACTTCTTGATCTTCATATTTTAAAATTTTATCTTAATTTTTAAATGGAATATTGGTTTTGTTCTTATAAAAGCTGACTGTACATGTATATGTTGCTATTTGGTTCAGTTCGCCCAAGCAGAAATTGGTCAATTCTTTTATGCTCCAAAGTCCAAAAGTAAAGACCATAAAGGAGTTGCGACCGGTATGGACATGACAGAGGATAAATGAGGTAAAGACCATAAAGGAGTCCAAAAGCATTCTAAATTTTTTAAAATTTATTCATAAATTATAATCACTAATTGAATCGACCTGATGGTTGATAGTTGCAACAATTAATTGCAGGAAGGATTTCAGCTGTATTCCTTATCTTTTTACCGATATTTCTTCTATCTTCCACCGCCATCCATATCTCTCACTGCCTCTCTCCACCGCCTATGGTTTTAAGTTTAAACTGGGTTTAGATGGTCAACTTCTACCTTCTGCTTCCTTCTAAACTTCTTACGCTCCTCCAAAGTCCAAACCACCGCCTTTACCAGATTATCTGCTTCTGATTCTGATAGAGAACAAATAATCCACTCATCCTTTTTCCTTATGTCGACTCTGCTTCTTTCCCGTTCTCCTCAACCATGGTAACCGCCCCCACCTCATCCGGAATAACCCACCGCCTCATCTCGATTCTTCCAGATTATCCTTTTGTCAACTCGCTCTCTGCAGTCTCCGGGAACCCTAAATTCATCTCTACCGGAACCGGCGTCCGCCACCCGTAATATTGCTTATCTGCCACAACATCTGTCTTTCCGTATTTCTCCAACTGTGTACGTCTTCTCTCAATGTGCCTCTTCACTGATTTGGGATATCTCCTTATGGTGTCTTCTATTTACACGGATTGCTTACTTCCCTACCCTCAAATAAACGTGGGGTCGTCGATTTCCGTCAAATGACCCGGCCTCCCCTGGCTCTTCCACCGTCCGGGCTCCCTTTCCTCCCTATGCTCCCCCGACGCAGGCCTACCACGCTTCACATGTTTATTTCAAAGGTTAGGGTTTACAGTTATGTTGCTCTGCTTTGTAGGGGGAGATGATGATGATGTCAACATGCTATTTGATGGGATTTCATCTGTATTTGATTCTTTGGAATCTAAAGAAAGTACAAATACAGACATGGAAGAAGAAGCTTATGAGGCAACTATTAAAAAAGAATCAAGGAAGAAACGCAAGAACTCTGAGCAAAAGGTGAATGTATTTTGATGTTGTGTGGTGCAGCCACTTCAAATGTTGTGAAGATGAGCTGTGAAAAACTTCGACTTTTTTTTTTCAGGTTACCCACCTTGATTGTAGCTAATGTTAGCATAAAGAAAACTGCCTATATCCAGTTGCTTCCCATGAATGTATGCTTATTTCCTGTATAGTTTATAAAACTATTTATTTTGTCGATGCAGAAGCAGTTCATGGATCTGCTACTGTTGCTGAAGCTGAAGGTGGAAACAAAATTGAAGCGTCTCAGGAACAAAGACTCAAAGTTGTTTTTTACATTTGAAACAGTTTGACACCAAACATCGTACATTATTAACCGGAACCCCTCTCCAGGTTTGTTATAGTGTTTAAGTGTATAATGTACTTTACTTTTTTTTTTATATATATTTAATCTGAATTGAAGATGGCTTTCAGAACAACTTGGATGAGCTTTTCATGCTCATACATTTCCCTGATGCTTTGCTGGGAAGGTTTGTATTATTGCAACCCCTTACCATAAGCTATGTCTAATATTATATAAAGAAAAAGTAGACAATCCTTAAACATCATCTTCTGTAAATATAAGCTTTTCTTAATTTTCTTAATTTTATGGAATTAGCTTCAACAACCATGTCATGCTGGTTCATTTTCTTAATTTTATTTCTATCGGTCTTGCATGCTCTTGAACATAGACCTCAATCCCCCAATCTACAGACTACAAGTATCCCCTTAATTGTGATTACTTCCTGTAAGTACCAACTCTAATCTTTAAATATGTTAAGTGTGCAGGTACCATACCTATTTATTACATTTAGTCCAATAATGAG